CAAATATCAGTATCTGTTGGTCTTTTTGAATGATCTATCCCTACCCAACCCCCTGCCCACCCCCAGAACTGATCTCCTCCTTTGGGGTATAAACTTTTCTGGGAGCTGAGTGAGGAAAGAGGTTGGGGAGAAATTCCCTATGTAAACTGATTTATCCTCCTGTTTGTACCCCTGCCCTCAGTTGTACATGATGTGCCTGACTGTTCTAGTTCATTCCCTTGAGTAAGTGAAACTTTGATCATCTGCCATGGTAGGAGAAGGGATCTTAGAGTCTAATTGCTTCTTATTCAGACTTTCAACCAGTCCTTCCTTTTTCAGCTGTCCTCCATTCCCTGACCTTCATAGGTATTGTTGCTCTTGGTTCCTGAGCCTTTCTGAGGTCCTGTAACTTGCTGCTCGGCTTCCCCTACTGCTGGCTTAGATTTCAGCTCTTTTGGCTGGCTAAGTCTGTTATCACTCATTCATCTGCTTTCTTCTTTCAGCAGTTTTATTGCTCGTCTCCTTTTTTGTTGTCATTGTCCCTAAGAGGTTTTGCCTTTTTAAAAACTGCATTTCTGTCATCTTAATGGGATTTGGAAAGGAAGCAGAAGTAAACATGTGTTCAGTCCTCTTCTCCCCTCTGCCCCGCCCCCAGAGAAAACTGATGCACAGAAAGGTAATACAGCTTTTCCTAGTAAGTTATTAGTAGGCTGAAATTAGGATATTGGTTTTTGATTCTTCTGTTCCACCTGCAGTGGCTGGTGCCTTTCTTTCTAGGCTAAAGAGCCTTCAGTAATGTTAGATCTTATTAAGTCTGAGGGGAAATCATGTTTGTTTGTTTTTAATATTTATTTATTTGGCTGTGCTGGGTCTTAGTTGCAGCACGCAGGATCTTCGTTGCGGCATGCGGGATCTCCAGTTGCGGCATGCGGGCTCTTAGTTGCAGCATGTGGGATCTAGTTCCCTTACCAGGGAACGAACCCGGTCCCACTGCATTGGGAGTGCAGTCTTAACCACTGGACAACCAGGGAAGTCCCAAACCATGTTTGGTTTTGACTATCATTTTCATCTACCCTTTCCTGTAAGTGTGTTCCTAAAGTTCACACACACACACACACACACACACACACACTTGTATTGGTTCTTTTTTCTTATACTTACTTGAGAGCCAGAACCATAACTGGTTGAGAGCACCTGATAGAGTCCTGTCTCCTCATAGTCACTCAGAAAGTCTTTGACTGACTGACAAAGAGGAGGCTGGTCGGTCTTCCTCTTGAGGTACTGATACTGCGTGCATATATTGACTGTCCGCCTGTGGATGACTGTACAGAATAAAAGTCCCTGCCTTTCCTTTCTGAAATTTGTTGTATGGGACTTCCCTGGCAGTCCAGTGGTTAAGACTTCACCTTCCAATGCAGGGGGTGTGGGTTCTATCCCTGGTCAGGAAGCTGAGATCCCACATGCCTTGTGGCCAAAAAACCAAAACATGAAACAGAAGCAATATTGTAACAAATTCAATAAAGACTTTAAATATGGTCTACATCAAAAAAAATCTTTAAAAGAAAATTTGTTGTATGGAACAAATTGTTTTGATGTGAACTCAGTCTTAAATGGTGTCTGGTCCCCTCTCCCTTCTCTATCCTTCATTTTACAAATGAGAACACAGAATTTGGGTGACTTGATTAAAGTCACTTAGCTAATGAGAAACAAGGTCAACACTTAGAAATTCTCTCCTGACTCCCTGCCCTTTCTGCTTCATCAGAAACTGGCTGCATATTGGGAAATGATTCTTGAAACTTGTTTCTATCAGAGGCAGGTACAGCAAAATGGGGTCATGTTGGAGCACTCATGTCTTCCCTTATCCCTCATTTTCATTGTGGGGAAAACCTTGATCAGGTAGGATTTCATTATGTCTGATAGTATAAATTGAACTTCATATGCTTTTTTCAATTTTCTAATGTATATTGCTGTGAATATATCTTTTTTTTTTTTTTTTTTTTTTTGCGGTACGTGGGCCTCTCACTGTTGTGGCCTCTCCCGTTACAGAGCACAGGCTCCGGACGCGCAGGCTCAGCGGCCATGGCTCACGGGCCCAGCCACTCCGTGGCATGTGGGATCCTCCCGGACCGGGGCACGAACCCGTGTCCCCTGCATTGGCAGGCGGACTCTCAACCACTGCGCCACCAGGGAAGCCAGTGAATGTATCTTTATGACCTTATTTTTAGGGTAGAAATGTAAATTTTCTTTCTCTTCTTTACAGCTGCATTCAGATCTCATTATGCATCAGAAAAATGAAAAAACAGAGGAAAATTCTGTGGAGGAAAGGAATCCACTTAGCTTTTTCTGAGAAATGGAATACTGGGTTTGGAGGCTTTAAGAAGTTCTACTTTCACCAACAGTTGTGCATTCTGAAAGCCAAGTTGGGAAGGCCAGTTACTTGGAGCAGGCATTTAAGGCATTTCCAGTGCAGAAAGAAGGCCCTTCAATTCCAGAAAACGTGGATCCAGGATGAACCCCTTTTTGCTAAGGCAAAGTCCAATGTGGCTGTTCAGAATCTTAGTACTTTGTCCTCTAAAGTGAAAGGAAAGGACACTAAACACTTCATTTCCTCCTCAAGGACCTTCCTGAAACTCCAAGCAGAGAAGTTGCTATCATCAGCAAAGAACTCTGATCATGAATACTCTGGAGAGAAAAGTCTCTTGAAGGCAGCCACTGACATACCAGCAAATAGTGTTTTAAGTCAGGCCAGTGGTCACAGACCTAGGACTGAGCCACAAGCTTCTGATCCTCCTATGAAGTTCAATGGGGAGAGCCAGAGTCCAGGTGAGAGTGGCACAATTGTGGTCACCTTGAGCAACCATAAGAGAAAGCGCTTTTGTTATGGCTGCTGCCGAGGGCTGGAGCACCACAGGAATGGGGGACCCCTGATTCCAAGAAAGTTCCAACTTAATCAACATAGAAGAATAAAAGTATCTCCTCATATGATGTATGAGAAATTATCCATGATTAGATTTCGGTACAGGATTCTCAGATCCCAGCACTTCAGAACAAAAAGCAAAGTTTGCAAGCTAAAAAAAGCCCAGCGAAGCTGGGTGCAGGTCACTGGGGACCATCAAGAGACCCTTAGGGAGAACAGTGAGGGTGGCAGTTGCAGCTTATTCCCTTCCCCAGAACCTAAAGACCCTTCTTGTCGGCATCAACCATACCTTCCAGATATGGACAGCAATGCTGTGGTGAAGGGAAAGAACTCTCATGTGCCTGATGGCCACACTAAAGGAAGCCCTCTCTTGGGCAAGGAACTTAGTTTAGATGAAGCATTCCCTGACCAACAGAATGGCAGTGCCACATACATCTGGGACCAGTCACCCTGTTCCTCTCCTAAGTGGGAGTGTACAGAGCTGATTCATGACATCCCCTTACCAGAACATCATTCTAATAACATGTTTATCTCGGAAACCGAGGGAGAAGTTATGGCTCTGGGTCAGGAAAATCGGACAAGTACTGTCAATGATGACAGAGTAAAACTGTCAGTGTCTGGGGCAGATCAATCTGTGAGTAGTGTAGATGGGCCTGTGTCCGAAGAGACTGTTCAGAATGAGAGTTCATGCCAGATGGATGAGGATGGATCTTTCAAGCAGAACATTCTTAGTTCTAAGTTGCTGGACCACCCTTACTGTAAAAGTCCACTGGAGGCTCCTCTGACGTGCAGTGGACTCAAACTAGAAAATCAAGTGGGAGGTGGGAAGAACAGTCAAAAAGCCTCTCCAGTGGATGATGAACAGCTGTCAATCTGCCTTTCTGGTATGCACTCTTCCTTTATTCTCCCTCAATCTCTGGCCCACACCTGCTGTCCATTATCCTTTCTAGGAGAGTCCTATTTGGTCCTTCCCCACATGGATTTCCCTTTAAGCATTTAGACATTCTTTTATATTGCTGTATTATATAGATGTTCCATAGTTTAGTAAGTTTTTGATTGACGGACACTTGTGTTGCTTTTAGTTGTTTCCCTCTATAAACAATGGTGCAGTGGAATTACTTCTTTATACTTCTATGGTTGTTTTTGTAAGTTAAATTCCTAGTAGTAGAAATGATGGTGGAAGGATAATCACACTTAAAATTTTAAGAGAATTGTTAAATTGCCCTCTAAAAAGTTGAACCCGTTTGCATTTGCTAAAGTTTGCTAGTCTCATAGATCACAAGAGAGTTCTTTGTTTTAATTTGCCTTTTTAAATTTAAAGTTTGAACATCTTTTTCTGTCTTTGCCATTTTTTGTTTGTATATAATTTTACTTTGCCTTTTTCTCTATTGGATTGTTTATATTTTATTTAATATGTGAGAAGCTCCTATGTACCATTGTTGGCTCTAAGAATGTGGCAACAAACAGGATACACTGATTCCTACCCTCAAGGTCCTTAGCATCATTATAGTTTTTTTTTTAATGAGAACCACTATAAAGTTATAATGTAAATACATTTTTTTAAATGTAAAAAGGCATAAAATTTCCTTTATAGACAGCTTCTCATTTATCTGCCATGTAATGTAAAATGTGCCTATAATAAAATAAGTATGATTCTTATGAGAGAATAGAGCGAGATCAAATGCACCATTAAGAAAAACATGCATACGAGACTATGAATTCTACTGAGGACAAAGGCCATTACTTTAAATACTTTTAAATTCCCGAGTTCCTGATAGAGTTCTCAGAACAGAGTTTCTTGGTTAATGAATAGCAAATTGATTTATTGGTTAAATTAGCAACTATGGAGCTTCCTGACAACAATATAAAATTAGTGGATAATTCACCAGAAACTGGCTTCTAGATTTTCATTTTAGTTACTATTTTGAAACAACATAATTTAGTACCAAAGGTTTAAACACCCAGTATAATTGCTAGACTGTGAAATCAGCATTATTTATATCTCATCAGCTATACAAAACTCATCATTTTTTCTTTCGGAAAAAAAACGGTAGTAGAAATCCCAAAGAATAAGGGAGAAACTACTAGTTAAAGGTCATGTTTACTAATCTAGCACCATAATTCCATTCTCAGGACCTCCCAAGTGGCTGGAAGGAGGAAGGGAAGAAGTGAGGATGTTGGAAAAGTAAGGGTTGTTCTTAACTTGTGGCCCCATTTGTGGTGTAAGGCAATGCAGGGTCTAGCAAAGAAGAAAATTGCTGAGGCTGGAGATGAAAACAAAAGCTTTTGGTTCAGATGGTAAAGGAGGCCCTCAAGAACAGTAGAATCAGTTTATCCAGGAGGCAGTGCTAGAGTCGGCCTCATGAACTAGGGGGTTTCTTCTTGGCGTCCACGTCCTTTTTAATTTCTTCAAGTATGTCGTAGTTCTGAGCCAGATACATTCCCACCACATTGCCAAGAGTAAATCCAAGCAGGAACTGGAGCATAGTGTCGGCAAGGAGGGCTCGAAGGGTGGCTGCAGCTCCTTGGACCATCCGAGCCTGCCTCCCCTGGCCTAGTTTTAAAGATGTTAAATTAAATTTTGGTAAAAGCCCTCAGTACCCTGACTTTGTGTATGACATTTTTGCTTAACAGAGAATTTCAGTTCTTACATAGTAAAATTTATTTGTCTTTACATTATGGCTTCAAGTTTTTACATAGTGCTTTAAAGTCGTCTTGTCAAAATCTACCCCATGAAGTCATTTGGTATAAACACTTCTGGAAGATAATATGGCAGTATCAGTCTTTGACCCATTCCCCTTCTTGCAATTTAGCCAAGATATAAAAGAGTACAAATATATTTGTACAGGGACATTACTTATAGTATTGTCTTGGTAGTAAAACACTGAGGACAACCAAAGCAAGTGTTTTTATGGACCTATAAATTACAGCATATCCAGGCAGTATACTATGAAGCTATTAAAGAATAAATTCGAAAAGTGAAAAAAGCAAGTTGCAAAACAGAAGGAGGCCATTTTGTTAAAAGATACATGTGCACATAACGAGTACATGTATATATGTGTACACATGCATTTGTATAGGATATATCTGGACAGATATATCAAATTGTTATAAATGGCTTTTTCTGGGGAGTTAGGAGAGTTACTTCTTGGTGGTTTAAACAATTCTGAACACTTTGCTTTTTCAACCATTAAATATGTATGAAAAACTTTTCCTCACAAAATGACAAAGTACAGAGTCCTAGAAAATCTTTCAAAAAAAATTCTGTTGTTTATGCTGTCCTAGAATGAAGACAAATTTCCCTACTATGAGGTTAGCAGAACCATGATTCATAAATCTGAAAAAGTTAGCATTTACCCACAAATACCAATTAACTTACAAATATATATGTAGCACTTCCAAAAAAGTTGATAAATTGACTGTGTCCTATAGTAAAACTGTAGCATAACGTGAAGACAAGAATTTTTTACAGAATTCACATTTAGTGATCTGTAATGTAGTTATTTTAATAGGCTAAAAGAGAAAAGTCATGGTATCTCAGCAAGTACTGAAAGCCTGATAATAAAGCTTAGCTTCCTTTGTGTTTAAATCTCTTTGAAAACTAGGAATAAAGAAAACTTCCTTCACTTAGTAAAGAATATCTGTCAGAAACGAATAGTAGATTTACGAGGATGAAGTAAGCCCATGGAATCTCTTCTTCCTCCTACCAAACCCATAGAAATTATGAAAAATATATTTAAAACATATGTATCTGTATACTCAAAAACAAAGAGAGTTTTGGTAGATCAAAAACTGAGAAACTAACAAGGCATAAAGTAGAGGGGAGATCCAGAGGGGAGCCCCAGTGACAGAAGGAAGATTAGTGCAGGAAAATGGTGCAACACTGAGGGTGTACCATTTCTGGAGATGGTGGAGGTGGAGAGGAAAGGGGAGACCCATGGTAAAAGACCGAGTAGTTGGAAAATCTCCACAAAAGCATCTCTCCCTGCCTGTGCCATATATCAGCAAGGAGGATATCTGCTATCAAGCTGAAATTTCTCCCCCCACCCCAATTTTATTGAGATATAATTGACATATAACACTGAAATTCTAAGAATAGGAGATTGGTGTGGAGAGGCAGGACATTCCCCTCTACTCCTGTCCCATTACTTATAATGCCTGGCAAGAATGAAGAACAACCCTTTCCAGAAGAACTGTTTTGGGGGTTCTTAGCATCCCCACATTGAAAATAGTTCAAGGCAGAGCAAAAGCTACTGCCCATCACAGCCTTCTCTCCACCCGCAAGTTATTCGAGTAGAGATGAGCCTGTAATCTATCACCAAACATCTGGAGAAAGCCAACACGATGGAAGAGACAAATTGAACTAAACTCGAGTAATCAGGATTAATAGAGCAATCAGAATAAGAATCAGTATAGGACAATCAGCATGGTATATGCTCCCTTAATTGACTTTGTAGTGTTAGCCAATATTCTGTGGTGTCCTGAATGCTGGCTCTTCTCTAATATAACTGCACATTATGCTCATTTTGTATTTATATATTTAATAAGAGCCCATTGTACTTATCAAAATTTACTTTTGTGTTTCATATTTTTATCAAATATTGCATAAACTGATGCAGTATTTGTTCAGAAAGTTACTCTCTTCAAAACCAAGTTGAATACTTTGCAACAACAGTAGTGTTATGTTTGTACAAGACAACTTTAAAAAATTTCAGGGAGGGTAGGAAAGTCTAGGATTCTGTACTCAGATTAGCTGTTTTGGAAGGAAAAGAAATAGATTCCTGTATCACAATATGTTCCAGGTGGATTGAAAAGTTAACTAATTAGAAACAAATACAGATAAACAAAAACTTGTACACAAATATTCATAGCATCATTATTCATAGTAGCCAAAAAGTGGAAAAAACTTAAATATCCATCAACTGATGAATAGATGAATAAAATTTTGGTATATCTATACAATGGAATATTATTCTGCCATAAAAAGGAATGATATATTTCAGTTTGGGTGAACCTTGAAAACATGCTAAGTGAAAGAAGTCAGACACAAAAGGCTACATACCATACGATTCTGTCGTTTTGAAATGTTCAGAGTAGGCAAATACATAGAGATAAAAAGTAGATTAATGGTTGCCAGGGGGTGGGGAGGGGGGGAATAAGGAGTAATTGCTAATACATACAAAGTTTTTTTGTGGAGTGATGCAGATGTTCTGGAATTATGTAATGGTAATGGTTGTACAACTCTGAATATATAAAAACCCACTGAATTGTAGACTTTTAAGAGGATGAATTATGGTATGTGAATCATAGCTTAAGCTGTTAAAAAAAAACACAAGACCATTTTTATAATCTCATATTGATAAGACATTTTAAAGCATGATAGGAAACTCAGAAGCAATAAAAGTATACCAATATGACTCCATAAGCATTAAAATCTCGTAAATATAGATAACCAAATTCATAAGTGAAAATCTGCAAGTTTTAATGTCCTTTGACCCAGAAATTTGAAAATGTTTTTAGTTTTTAATTTTTGGCTTGCAGGGTCATAGTTCCCTGACTAGGGATCGAACTCTTGCCCTTGGCAGTGAAAGCATGGAATCCTAACCACTGGACTGCCAGGGAGTTCCCTCAGAAATTTGAATTTTAGCAAGTGTGTTCTAAGGAAACACTAGAACAAGGATATATTGAGGGTTTTAATTGTAACATTATTTAGAGAGCTAAAAATTAACAAATGGCCATCAGCACAGAATTGGTTAAAATATGCCAGATCAATTTAATGGACCACTAGATTGTTTTGAATTGACTTAGGGAAAAAAAATCCATGTATTGAATATAAAAAAGCAGCTTCCAGAAGAGTGAGTATAGTTTGCTACTTACATGTTTAAGACATACATGTTCATTAGGGCATAAAAGTTCTAAAGGAATTATGGGGTGGCTGCCACTTTATTTTGAAATGTTTATGGTCATGTATTGATACTAGCATAAATACTTAAAGCTTGTTCCCATTTCAAGTTTGTAAAAATATTCAGCCCTATTTTCTAGACTATTAATGTGTTATTTTTACATGTAGGTGTTTGGAAAAAACTAAAGATGGCTTCCTACATTTTTTTTTTTTTTTTTTTTTTTGCGGTACGCGGGCCTCTCACTGTTGTGGCCTCCCCGTTGCGGAGCACAGGCTCCGGACGCGCAGGCTCAGTGGCCATGGCTCATGGGCCCAGGCGCTCTGTGGCATATGGGATCTTCCTGGACCAGGGCACGAACCTGTGTCCCTTGCGTCGGCAGGCGGACTCTCAACCACTGCGCCACCAGGGAAGCCCGGATTCCTACATTCTTTACACCAAAATGAATTTCAACTGTGAACAAAAGATTTACTTGGTAGTTCTAATACTATTTATTGATTAATTCATCTTTTCCCCATGATTATGAGATGCTGCCTGCCATTCTGATTCCTATCTGGTTGGTTTCTCTGTTTCTGTGATAGCACTATTCTGCTTCAATCACTGTTATTTGGTTTTATAATTTGATGGGATTAGGCCCTCCTTCTCCTCTTCTCTTTTGCCCCTATTCACCTCTCCTCCTTAATCTTTTTCAAAAATTTCTAAGAATTTCTCACATTTTTGTCCCAAGATGAATTTGGATTTGGTTTTTCAATTAAACCAATGAACAAACAGTGGCTTTTGATTGGTATTGCATTACATTAATAGACTAATTTAGGGGAAATTGCATTCATTTTAATATGGAGTTTTCCTGTCTAAAAACCAAAGAATTACTCCATTTATTGATCTGTGTCCCTTACTAGAATTTGGTAGTGCTTTTCACTTGTTTAGTAAGTTTAATAAACTTAAGCACATTCCTTAAGTTTATTCTTAGATATTTTGTGCCTTTCTTATTTTTGATGGGACCTTTCTGACATGTGTATTGTATCTTGTTGGAGAACCAAGTGGTTGCATTTCATATGTGCACAACACAATGAACCCCTTCCACTTTCAGGGTGGGATGTGATCCAAGTGACCCATATCAGTTGTTGCAAGAAAAAGCTGTCTGACACAGTTGGTTTAACATGATGAGTAATTTAACTTCTAAAAAACACCTCAGTTTTTGTTTTTCACATTACCTTTTGTACTTACAAGATGGAATATAATTTGAACTCCAATTTTTCATGGTTTTGTTTTTTCCTAATATTTTATCCTTTGCTTCTAGGTCATACTAAAATTTTAGTACTTCTGGAATAAAAGAAATTGTATATTCCAAATGCATTTTCCTTGTTGGTTCATTGGTTTGGTGAAAACAAGTGGATAAATAGTGAATTTAACTCTCATTTTATTTTAATTTTTTGGCTGAGCCCTGCAGCAAGTGGGATCTAGTTCCCCAACCAGGGATAGAACCACTGCCCCCTGCAGTGGAAGCGTGGAATCCTAACTATTGGACCTCCAGGGAATTCTGTAACTCTCATTTTAAGAAGTCTGTTTTTTGGGTTACTCTTAGCCCATGGGTATTAGAAGGGAAAGGTAAAATGAAAAACTAAGTTGTTTTGTAGAGAAGAGATAATAGATATTTCCTGCATTGGAGGTGGCACAGCATAGACGTTAACGGCTCAGTTTCTGTTGTCACATAACCTACAGTCAGAACCTGATTTCTGCCATATGCTAGTTAAGGGTCCTTGGGGAAGTTATTTAACCTCCTTAAGCCGCCTGTCTCCATTTTTAAATTAGGGATACTGTCTAACACATAGGATAGTTATAAGGATGAAACGAGGTATGCTAGTGCTTGGCTTATGAGTGCTTTTTTTTTTTAAATTATGTATTTATTTTTGGCTGCATTGGGTCTTCGTTGATGTGCACGGGTTTTCTCTAGTTGAGGAGAGCAGGGGCTACTCTGTTGCAGTGCGCAGTCTTCTCATTGCAGTGGCTTCTCTTGTTGTGGAGCACAGGCTCTAGGCACGCCGGCTTCAGTTTGAGCGCGTTTTAACTGTTGTTTACTTCTGGTCCTAGTGAGATAATGGTGTGTGCATCAGTGAGACATTGTCATTAGGGTTGTCCTTGAAGATCCAGGTAGGGCTTTTCTACTGCATTACCAATCCATGTTTATCATCTGAAAGTGAAAACAAAAATACGGATAAGAGGAAAAACACATAACAACTTAAACATAATAACTTAAAATCCCCCAAACACTGCCGTTTAGAAATAACATTGTTAACATAACAAGGACACCTCTTGTTACAAGTTTGGAATTGGGTCCATATTCGATTGGTAGAAGAGATTGCTTTCTTATTTGAAGAGTCTCAATTAAGGTTGCTGTGCCTAAAGTTTAATTTTTTGTTATTAGGGGCAATATTTTTGTATAAAATTTGTTCCTTAAATTCAGTTTCTCAAATGTTGGGAATCCTTATCTTCTGTTTGGGTCCATTCTCCCACGTAGACACAAGACTATGCTTAGACAACTGTAAGATATGATATAGTAAACACTATCGGCAAACATAGGCCGAATGGATTCCTAGTGTAGAAGCCCCAAGTCATCATCTCCTACTCTGACTAAACTGGAACATGAGACTCCCTTTGTCTTCTGTATGCCTAAAGCCTAGACCAGGAGCAGACATAAGCAAGCAACTCTTTCCTGCTTACTGTACTCTTAAGCCTTTCAAGTTGGGAGCTACTCTGGTGGGAGACTAACAGGAGGAAAATAGGTTTTTCACACATTTGTCTGCTCCTCCCCCATACAAAACACTCCATTTCCAGGACAGTTACTGTGTTGTGATCATTTCTGTCCATTTTATATAGATACTTAGCAGAGGCCATTCTTGAAGTTAGAAAGGGGGCTGGGTAAAATAAGTGGCTAACAGTCCTCATTTTTTCCATCTTAACTCGGTGGACTTAACTGTCAGACTGATGGTTAGCCAGACTGTTGTTCTCCCCACTCCCCACTCAGTGGATAGCCTAAGTCATATCTCCACTTCTGTGAGCCTCTAAGCCTTCCCTCAGCTTCTTTGTAGTTACTTAGAAATAATGGCCTGGTTTTATTTCCTAGCGTATTTTTAGGTATATTTCTTCATTGGATCCTCTTGGAAACCATTAAAATGCATATACCTATTACTTAAGTTGACGTAAAGACTAGCCTGTATCCTGGTCAAGAAGTCATTCTTTAATTCTATTTCCTCTTTTAAAACATGCCTCACCAGCTGTTACCCAGTTAAGCTCACTTCATAGGGTTTAGCTCACCTCATAGGGTTATGCAGTATCATGAGTATTAAAATAACTATCAAATTGTATATTAAAAATGCCTTAGTATATGTCCCTTGTTATGAGATGTGAAATTTCACACCTTTATCAAATAATAAATACAATGACAGTGATCTCAACAATTCTAATTGTGATTTTAAAAAAGATAATTTCTTCAGTTACTAAATGTGATAGACACATTTAACTAGGTGATTAAACCCTTTAGGTTTTACCTTTGGGAGATAGGATTCTTCTCCAAGGTGAAGATACTGAAAAATGTCAGTCTTTAGTTTCAGCTATCCATTTTCTAACAATGCATCAGTAGCTTAAAAATCCAATGTGAAATGATGCCTTAGAGCATTTCTCTCTAGATTGGAATGGTGAGGGCCTGATCCATTTAATTGTTTTTTACAAAGTATAACTTTTAAAAGATTTCTTTTTATAATGCATTTAGTAATGTAGGTTAAATGTATGTTAAGTGTTGTGTGTAAGTTAAGTAATGGGACGGTGACTTTGCTGAAAATGCCTTTTCCATCTTAAATTTTCTTTCTTCCTTTATTTAAGGATTCCTAGATGAGGTTATGAAGAAGTATGGCAGTTTGGTCCCACTCAGTGAAAAAGATGTCCTTGGAAGATTAAAAGATGTCTTTAATGAAGACTTTTCTAATAGGTTTGTCAATGATGCTTAAGTTAAGCCGTTGAAAAGA